GCTCCATTTTGGGCCAATTCCCCTTGACCCTGTGCCGAATCCCAGACCCCGGTTCCCCTCTGTCTCGGTTAGCACTAGAAGGCTAGGAGTCCCGCCGGCGCCCTTATTATTCCCTATTACCGTAGCTCACTACGCCTTTCTTCCTCGAATACGATGCTGATGAACTGCTTTTGCCACCCAGTGAACAACCACCGGAAGTGGTCGACCAGCACCGTCCAGTCGGGGAGTATCCGCTTGAACGCTGCGGGTAGGAGAATTCGCCGAAGCCGCCGCCACCGCGTCCACGAGCGCCACCGCTCGGCATCCGCGATAATTTCGCCGAATTGTGCACTTGCGTAGAGATCCGAATGGTCTCCCGGAGACGGCAAGCGTGCACGATCGACGCTTTGGTGCATGTGCTTTGCATTCTCCCCCTCTCCCACACCTCTTCGGCGGTTCGGTGTACCCTGTGTTGGGGGTTCATTGATCGGAACGCCGCGACCGCCATCCCTGGGCGCGGCCGAGGGGACGATATTGAAGGCAACAACCGTATCCCCTGCACTGGCGAATGCACCTGCGAGGCCGGAGCCGCCACACTGGACACCACCGCTGTTGCCGTTTACACTAAGCTCGGCGAGCTCGATACGGGGATCGACTCCCCTTTTGAGGTTCCGCGTCGCATAGTCTTCGTGCGGCGGAATTCCTATGTATTTGCACGCCGTTTTCTGCCCCTTTGCTCGTTTCCGACAGTCATGCGGAGTAGCCAGGGACTCGTTAGGACCATCCGCGACGGCGGCGCCGTTGGGAACTTCCTCACGCCGTACCGTGCAAGCACCCGGCGGAGGGGTCGCATCCCACCCCCCAGCCTCATCACCGTCACCCCCCTCAGCCTGAAGACGGCTCCGACTCTCCTCTTTTCGGTCCCTCTCCGCCTGCTGCGGGGTGTGAGGGTCCGCGGGGGATGGCGTCAACACGGCGTAGTGTATTTGAGAGAAGAACAGCTCAATGCAGATTCGCTGAACGAAGAATATGAAGACATCCAAGAGAAGGATGAATAGTGGTATCCGTGGGATCGCATCCGCAGCCGTCATGAAGTCCATTATGGCACTCTCCAAGGCGAAAAATTTCGAATAGTAGTACTCCTTTGCAAACATCTCGGAAGCCTTGGCGTCCGAAACCGCCTCCCTGGGGAGTGGCATGCCCTCAGGGACGCCTTTTCCCCACTCATCCGCGTCATGGCTCCCTAATATTGATCTCAGAGCGGGAAAGTCTCCTGTGGGTGGCGCGTCAACGAAGGGGTGCCAGCCATGCATGACGCCGGGTACAAGGACGTCGAGGCATAGCGCCAGCACCAATATTAGCACCGAGTGGCGGCTGCTGAAGTTGCGGAATTCCTCTTGAGACGCATCTTCGTCATCAAACGGGATAAATTCGGGAGCCCCGCCGTTCCTCGACCCTTGCCGCGCGCCGCCAGTTGTTGCCCCCTGCACGCGTCGTTCGTGCGCCCCATCTCGGTCTCGGCGTGTGTGGACGCCCGTGGAGCCGTAGCTCTCCTCTCTTGACGCACCCCCGGCGTTACCATTGTTCGGAGATGCAGTGGAAGCCCCCGCGCCAGTCTCACCGCCGCTCCGGGGTTCGGAAAGAACAAGGCGAGATCGCAGCATGCACACTAACCACATCAGGCGGTATAGCAACATGATAGTTGAGCGCCCAATGTAGAAGACATACACTGTTTCAAACAGAAATACCTCCAGCATGGCATTCTGTGCAAGGGTAAGTTGCCCCTTCACACGATTGTTTCTCATCATTTATCTCAAACCCTAACAAGAAAGAAGGATTCCACGGGATTGTAGTTCAAGGTGCTCGACACACACAAGCAAGGGACAATTCAATGCACTGCTCAACCATAGACACAGTATCCGAGTCATTATTGTTCAACTTCGATTTCCATACTTTTTTTGACCATATAATACACCGAAAACATGTGTGCTGTTATTACACCACTTTGAACCCTTCTGAGGTGCTTGTTCCTCCCCACGCTTTTAGCCACTTATATGACCATTGACTTCAAACAAAAGCACCCACGCGCTACCTACATCAGATGTATTAGCAATCGTAGCGCAAATAGATGAAGTCCTACAGAATGAATCCTACTCGCTAGAGTAAAAAATTTATCCTTACCTGAACATTTGCTTAATACTAAAAAGCATCCCTACCCAGGTTATCTTTATCCCTTTTGTTCCAAATTAGGCCGTTTTCACACTCCAACGAGCGATAGGATTAGGCGCAGTAGAATGAATCACCTTGTTCGAGGAATTTTACACCTCTTGACTTACTACATTTAGCCGCTCACGTTTTCGAAAGTTGAGGTTGATTAACCTTGAGTCCCCAAACCCCTTGGTATAGTACATATATATGGCGAGCATCACCATCACCGCGGCAACGACGTCTTGCGCACACAATCTCTCCCCTAGCAGGATTGCAGCCATGATCGCAGTTAGTGGCACTTCAACCCCGGATGCAAGGGCCTTCACAATAATGTTAGTGAATTTTAAGATAAACGAAGCTGTGATCCCTGTTACCGCACCGACGAGCACGATTACAACGAAAATACGAGTTTGACTGATGCCAACAGTGAGTTCACGACCAAAATTTGGCACCAGCACGACGCCAAACAGAATATTGAATACAATGCCGTAGAAGTACATGAAGAAGTTCTGCATGTGTATCGAGAAGCCAGGGTCCTTCTTAAACATATACTCGTTGTACACACCAGCAAGCGAGGAGATGAAGGCCTGAAGGATCACGATGCCTACCCAGCTTCCCATTTCAAACGTTGATGGAGAAAAGTACTTTAGTGTCACACCGAAGGCCAACAAGGTCAACGCCAACCACTTCCTCAAACTCAATGCTTGTCCCAGTACCACTGTGAACACGATACCGGTAAACCAAATTCGCGTCTGCATGAACACTTGGTACGTGCCCAGGTCAAAGTTATCCAGATTGATAAAGGTCATGTTGTTGTACACAGCGTATAGAAACGCAGGGATCACGTATGGAAGACCTCTCTTCCATAATTCGCCACGGGTATCAGAGAGGAGAATAGTTTGTGGAATAAGTTCACCGTCGATGCAGTATTTCAACGCAATGCATATCGCCATTTTCACCACCTCGGTCATCGCGACAAGGGGAGCGACACTGTAGATATAGTTTAATTTGCTGTAACTAATACAAAAGTAATAAGCCATACTCGCAAGAACATAAGTACCAGCTAGAGTTACACTTTTTATTACAGGCAAGTGCACGTTATTGGCTAGCTCTTTTCTTCGCTTAATGTCAGTTGCATTCAGATGAGCAGTGCCCTCTGAACGATCCAACCCGGACTGCGGGAGATTAACAATCACAGATTCACCCTCCTCATGTCCCTTTTCATTCGAATGCATGTCTTGCTTCATCAGTCTAGGTACTCCGGTAGGGGTGCGGGTCTTTTTTATTACCCTGCTTTGTTGTTTGTTTTGTGACGGAAAAAAGTAGTTTCTTTAGATTAAGAAAGATAATTTTTATTCACCTGATCTTAACAAGTTCTTCTATTAGTAAAAAAAGCAATACAACCACGAGAGACACGAATAGGAAACGGTGCTGTGTATATACAATTATATAGAAAAGCTAGAACAACGATGATCTAAAATTTAATGTGCTACTTGTTCTATTTGCGATTGGTGTTGGAGGGAGGTGGGGGAGAAAAGCATATAGGGCCTGTAGGAATAATGAAAGAAAGATTAGCATTTCTCAACCGCAGCCGGCCGTAGGCTCCGCGTTGGGCCTGTGGAAAAACACGTTACCCGTAGTATTCAAACCTCGCGTCCTTACTCCTCCTCGGTGACGCTGCCTCTTTTCTCGATGTGAGGCTCTTATGTTTTCCACCACACAATGCAACGACGCCCTACGCTCAGAAAATGGAGCCTTAGAGCGGGAACACCACGACCAGGTCCTTGACATCAACCGCAGGTCCAACTTCGTCCTCGAGGTCGCACGCGCCGCGTGAGCGGGTGGGCTCAGACGGCTTCGCACGCTGTCGCCGCCAAGTATTTCTGGAGATCACGCGAACTTCGGCCTCGGAGAATCGCTCCAGGTACAACAGCATCATCTCACAGGCCATGTCCGCACCATACTCGTGTTCCCACAGACACATCCTGCAGAGCAACGGTAGCGTGATCGCCACGACACGTCTATTCGACGATGGCCCCTCGCCCGTGCGGGGTCCGTTTTTGGCCCTTTCTTCGCAGCCCCGACCTCCCGTGATGCCATCTCCTTGCATGCCGTTGCGGGGTATGGCCCGGGATCTGCGGCGCCGCTGCTCCTGCAGTTGCGTCCAGTGCTTTGCTAGGGGCTTAAGGCGCATCTCTAAAACGCTCGTCGACACTGGGAAGCACAGTATGTCCTCCGAGAGATCATCGATACGCTGCCGCCACGGGTCCGCTGACGAAGGTGGGACGCCACGCTGCTGGTTGCCAGTAAGATGCTCAATCACCTCCCGCGGCATCAAAAGATCGGTGTCCAGGACCTCGACGTGACGCAACTGCACCACAGGCCGGCGATTCAGGCCTCCGTGGGCGCCGTTAGGTGACCTCCCCACGTGGCCCGCCCAATTGCCCCCCTCAGCCTCTTCTCCGCCACATCTACTGTTGTCGGCATCACTGCCGTGTGGGAGCTTTCGCCGAAAAAGGATCAGCTGGAAAAGACAAGAGGAGACAGCCGAATTTCGCCACTTCGTACCGAGAGACGGAAGAGTTCCCCTCGCGGCGGGCTCATCAAACGCCCTTGTGGTGGCCCAGCTATG